TGCTGGTAGTAGTAATAGTAGTAGTGGTAGGAGCGCAGACGACGCGAATGCGAGGAACCGACGATGATCTAGACGGGGGGCGGCAGTAGCAGCAGAGGTAAAAGACGTTTGGGGGATAGGTATGCATGCCTGACCCCCTACCCATGCACATGGCTTGCACAGCAATGCTGTCTCTATGTGCGACTTTGCAATGGACAGCTTGGCCAGTCTGTGCTCCCTGCTTTTGTGCCGTTGTTTTGCCTTGTCCTGCCGGTCCTTACCGCTTACCAACAACAGCCATGCATACAGCAGGCTAGGCACAAGGCAAAACGGCGTCTTTCCACGGTTGTGGCGGTTTCCTTTAGCAGTTAGGCACAAGTGTACTGTGCATATCTTAGCAAACTGCAAATGCACCAGCAAGTTGATACCCATCGTGCATGGCAGTAAAGGCGCTTCTGCCGTTGTCGATAGTTGTGTAGCTGGTTGCGTTGATGGTGCTTCTGCAGCTGCTGAAATGTGTGGGTGTTGTGGGCTCTAGCGGCTGGTCTGTGGTGGCGACTGAGCGGCAGATGGGACCGACGTGGCCGCGCATACAGTTGCACCTCAGTGAGGACGCGAGAAGAGACGAAGAAAGGTGATGGAGGAAGCAGCAAACCTGCGTTTTACCGACGCTAAAAGACCCACTTTGAGGACGAGAGCATGCAAGTATAGGGAGTGGTGTTAGTGGCCCGGGGGTCGCCGGGGGAGGAAACGAGGGGAAAGCGGGTAAGAAATAGGTGGAAGGGAACAAAATCGGAGTTGCGGGTATGAGTGTTAGTGTATAAGACCGGGAAAGGCGACAACATCTCCAGGGTTTCTGGCTGGCAAAGTTTAAGTCTGCTTCTTTTTCGCTACCACCATCACCAGTATACGACTGCATGAGCCGTTCATCCCCTTTTCGACGAACCCTCCTCACCGCCCGCGCCCCTCGTGCTGAATCACCCTGCATCTATTCCTTTGCCCCACAGCGCTTTCCTCGAGGGCAGCTAAGATCCAGGAAGCGGCAAGCGAAGCCGGCTGCCAACCGACTGGGGCCCATCTCCAAAGCCCGTTGAGGTCCGCTACCGTCACAAGAGGTTTCTGGATGTCGGAAAGCGCCTAGGGGATAGCAGCAGAACGCATAGAGCTATGACAGTGATGGCGTATCTACAAGAAACCTCTTATCGCTTTTTACGAGTCGTCTTCCACAGAGCCGCAGTAGCAGCAAGCCAGCCAAGTCGCCGGCCGGAGCAGCCTCAAGGGCTCAAACGGCTGGCGTGTCTGTCCCCTTAGTGCAGCCCCTGTCTCATTCGTCTGTCCGCTTGCCTGCTGCCCATTTCTGCTTGTACCCTGGGCCAGAGAGCCGAAAGCCAGGGAGCCGCTCACCCTGTTTTGAGCTGACTGCTGCAACTCAGGGGACACCGCTGCTGCTGCGGTAGCGTCGGCCACTGTGTTGGTCCAAAAGCAGCAGCAATGAGCCGGCGAGCGAACCTGCAAGCAGATGGGCAACCGACCTACTGACAAACGGCTCGTTCTAGGCCTGCCACACGAGAGCAGAGAAGATCGCACCGCGCAAAGCGTAGAACGACGTACAACGCCGTTCCAGCAAACGGGTTCAAACAGTTTTAAAGTTGCTACCGACGCAGTCGTCGCTGCTGATACTGTAACGCTGGTGTGGCTCTCGGAGGTCCTTCCGTTTTCGACCCTCTACAAACCGAACGAAACAACGAGCGCACCAACGGCAAAGGGGGTGGCCGAAAATGATAGAGGAAAAGGTGTCAGAAGGACGAGGGAAGTGAACGGTGAGGGAGACAAGCGAAAGACACCAGCCGGGTACGGTCTAGAGATTCGGCCCTGGCCAGCCTGTGGCCTGTCCGTCTGCCTGCCTGTGAGAAAGTAGCATGGATACGTATCTGCTCTACTGGCTAGGTTACATTACAAGCAGCTGGAGGAGTGGGAAAGTTGGTCGCCTGTCCGCCCTGTGCCCCCCGATTCCCTGACTCTTGCCGGCTCTCAAATCAGCTTGCGCGCTACGATTCCTGCTGGCGCTGCAAACCACCCGATCGTTGGTGTAGCTGTATGAATTGCGACAGGAGGTATAAAGAGTTTGGAAGCTCATGCAATGGCATCCACGAGGGGGTGTGAAAGTGAACGGATGTGGTAGAACAAGTAGTGCGGGGGAAAGATGGCCGGGAATGGGGAAACATAAAAAAGATAGAAATGGGGATAAAGAGATGATAGTCGAGGGAGAGCTAGGACAGATACGATTGCGTGGTAACCGCACAGGTACCCCACCCTCTACTACACTTGAAACACGACCGTGATATTGTACAAACTGGGTTAGGTAGCGTAGTGGTTGGCTATTGTGAAACTCGACGGGACAACGGTTCCTGTTTGTCCTAGCAAAAGCGTCGTGGCTATGGCCGCAGCCATCACGTCGGCAGACTGCGGCGCGGTATTGGCGTACAGAGGAGATGGCCTCAAACTTCAAAGAATCTGAGGGGTCTTCTTCTTGAAAGGGATCTTTGTTTGTCGTTTGTCGGCCGGCATGTTTTTCCCTCACCGCGACGCTTGCTCACACAGGTATACTCGGACATACTTCAACACACAGTCAGAGACGAGAGGTGCCGATGGTAACAGAGCCTACATAACATTGGGAACGGTTGTCGTGGATGCCCAAGGGCAGGCGGAAGGCAATAATCTGTCGCAGCCGACCTCTGTCTCTAGGCCGTGGCTCAGACTTCAGGGGTGGCTTAAGGTGACCAACAGACGAGGCGATGCTGGTAATGATTCAAACGTTGCTTTTCCATCCAGTAATACCAGTAACTTTTACAATAGTAGCAGCAGTTATATTATCATCCTTAGAAATTTTGATTGCCAGGTGCGACGTATAGTCCTGTGTTATGTAAAGGTGCTCAGTTTAGACACTATCGCCACCAACAGGCTATACTTATGGGTTACCTAAAGTTTAAACTTCAGCCAAGAATACTTTGAAAGAATGGTTACTCCGCGTCTTTTCAGAGGAAGCCTAAGAGCTCACCACGTAGTGAATCGGTTCCTTTAAAACAATATGAGACTCTATTTTGAACTGCTATAACTCAGTGTACATATCTCAATGGTCATAAATGTCTACCCTTCGAAAAGCCGTTGACTGATCGAATTTTGTTAAGATTTTTTCAATATTGCTATGAAACCGTAAGCTATAACTTAAAATACACTTGCAATACTGTACTATACATTACGACTATAAAATTTGGAAATTAGCCGAAAGGAAGGGCCGCAACCACCTGAAGTGGCTTGGGTTTACAGAGAAGCATGGAGCCTGGCTACCTCTAAATTCTCTAAATCCGCAAGGAATTACAGTTTTACACTGCATTTTAATATCTCTTCCAGTACTGAGCGTCCTGCGGCCACAATGATCGACTTTTGCGTAGAACCGTTACTGGTAATGGGAAAAGTGTCTCTACATTAGCATGAACCAGAAATCGGATTGGTTGGCGCCAGAAGGGAAGTTAAAACCAAATGTTCATTAAAAAAAAAGTTGTGCATTACGTTTGGTAGCGTTGTGACACCCTGATTCAGCAATTATTAGTTTTACGAAGTAGGCAGTTGAACGGCACGTTTATTCAGTCGTGTTGCATCGAGTACAGCAGGCTATTCAAGAGAAAAGAAGTCAGGCCATTCTGCTACGTGATAACGTAAGGCCACTAACTGTAAACATCGCCAAAGCTGCCTTCCTGGACTTTAAAAAAGGAACTTTCATGCACTCATCTTACTCGCCGGTCATTGCGCCGATGGATTTCCTTTGATGGACCCTAGACCGTTTACTGGGTGACCAATTTCGTGGTTATACCTTCCACACGAATTAAGGGCTCAATATATTTTTGGAAAACCTTTTCGAGATGAAACCCACTTTTTTTTCGTCGGAATGTCGTAAGTGAATATATAACATATTAACTTATTGTCAAAAGGATAAAAGTGTGGTGCTTTGTATCCAGTGCAAAAGCGCGAGAATTTTTTTTTTCAACCTAATACTTCAACTAAGTGTCTGCGTACGCACACATGCTCTGTCATGTATTTTCAAAATATCTATTGCAATATTTTGAAAACACGATTCTGCACACTGAGGCTTGTATTATACACGCTCCAAAAAAGATACCCTGCCATTATCCGTAAGTTACCGTACATACCCTAGTCAAAGGGTACACAGAATTATCGTAAAGTGTCTGCTTGCATATTTCCAGATAGTCTGGAACCTATCGTGACCATCGCGGAAGTTATCAGTCTTCTATAAAGGTTCCTATTACATCAATATTCAACACACATAAATTCTTAATTTTTCTATTTCCGTAAATTGTACTATATGTCGACCTTCACAGTACAAACATCTGAATGGAAGGTTCTTTACTGACTAGGAAGTTAGTCAACCAGAGCCTACAATAGGCCGAAACCTACGTATTCGTAGAAAAAAGGACCTATCTAGTAAATCCTAACAATCGTACCCCAAGCCAAATAGAACACGTCTTTGATCGTCCGGGTCACCTTCGTTGTATTAGGGTCGACGTCTTCTCGCCTTCTATGTTCATCAGTGCTACTTCAGTACCCCGAACTAGATAATACTTCCGTAACTCCAATGTTATTGCTTAGCTGTCGTTTATGCTATGAGTAATCGTCACAACGTTTGCTTTGCTACAGGTTAATTTATTATGGAACCACTCTGCGTATAAAAGCGCATGAGAGTTTTTTTTTTTTGTAATTTAAATTATTATTATATTAATTAATATTGCCTGAAAATATGACCTGTAACGAAGCAATACATTCAACATTTTCTCATATGAACTGATCGTTTATTTCCAATTATTATTTATGTGCAGATCGTGAATTGCTAGCTACACAGAAGAAGAAATAGAGAACAGGCCTTATTTTAATTGTAATTTATTTTCAGCTGGACAACTAACCATGAAGGTTGTAGCTGTTTAATGGTATTCTAAAATTAAAAAATAAATTACATATTTTATATGCTATGTAATTTATAGCAATCGTATCTTATCGTGGCATCATAAATAATAAAGAAAATAGCTAAATTTAATAAATCTTGATTTTCCATACGGGCTTGCTTAATTTTATATGAGGTTTTGCTTTTCTCTACCTACTTCATAGTTTATCTAGTATACAGAACTATATATCTTGCGTCGTTGTATATAACGACTATTTTACTGCATCGTAGAGGCAACCGCAAGGTAGCGTGGCCGAGCGGTCTAAGGCGCTGGTTTAAGGCACCAGTCTCTTCGGGGGCGTGGGTTCGAATCCCACCGCTGCCAACGTTTTCCCCAATGGAACGCATCTTTTTCTTCAATAAGTCGCTGAGTTGACTCTTCAACAATATGAATTAAAAAAGACGTTTTCCTCCAACTATATCTATTTCAGATAAGAATCCAGAGTATGCAAACGGGTCATCACCTCCAAGAGCGTGGATGCCAGTTATCGCTATGAGCACGTGTAGTTAACTCTGGATGCAGCCGGCTTAGCCCTGACAAACAGGAACAACACACGAGCACACTTACGGTGCGCAAACCCATGGCCACTCCGTACACGCATGTTGAACACCTAACCGACAAAGGCAAGCGGCTTGTGTACCACAGTGGACCGTTTCCAGGACAGGAACAATGATGACGACTACGCAGTTTCCATGAAACTGGGATATCTTTTACCATTGTGTTTCAAGTGGATTTTGTACATATATTTCCATTCTCCGTCTTTCTTACGGAACCTATCTCTGTGCTTCCCAAACTCACAGAGTTTGCCTGTTCTTTCCAACTTTCTTCGCTATATATATATATGGGTATACATGGAAAGCTGCTTGCTTTTCACTTGGGCCGTTCGAGAGACAAAGTCCGATAGAAACAGAAAGAGTGCGAGAAGCTGTGGAATAGACAGTAGATGCCGGGGTCATCGATCATATTTAAAAGCCTAAAGAAAAAGGCTTTGACACTGGGCAGATTCGCCTGAAATGCCGTTGCTGCCAAGAACATTAGGCGATAGTCGGGTCAGTCTGAGTGCGCTCGCTCATAAGAAGACGACTGGCTCCGGCTGAGATGGCAATCAGAAACTGAACAGCGGACGAGAGTGTACACGGCACCGGCAGCGGTGGAAGCATCACGATCTTTTCTCTTCCCTGACATTCATCACAGACCGGTGGCCACCTTTGATCCGATGAACGACAGGAAATATTACCGTCCTGTATTTTTCTCCGCTGGTGGTCGGAGCTTCTGGCAGTTTAGAGGAAGGCATTACTAATAAACAGAACTTATAAAACGATGGCTGCGTTCTAAATCAGTTCTGAGCGAGTGGGGCTCGGAATCCCGGCCACAAACTATGTTCGCACATATGAAATGGAACTTAACATTAAGTGCCGTTTTTCATACGGACCGACTTGACTTGACGGAATCAGCACCTGTGGATGTGACATCATTGTTAATATATTTTTTGTATCAATATAACACTGTTTTTTTATTGAAGCAGCGCAAGGACTTAATATTTATGAATAAGCTTTGTCATAACACTAAGTTCTAGCCCACAAAGCGTGCCATTCGGGCTGATTCACAGCAATTATTTTGGGGCAATTAAAAAAAATAAGTAAAGCTGAAACTTGACAGCCATATTTCGTTACATTAGTTGGTCAGTACCAATAGTAATAACGTTATAACTATGGTAATATAACTTCATACAATTAAAAATATTGTCTTCGTTGTGATAAAATAAAATCCAGAAAAAAAGCTCCTTACAAAAATGATACACAATAACACTGAGAGAAATATGCCTGCTGTCTCTGGAAGTTATTTCAGCCACTCGATACAATGGCAGCAGCTCCATCAGCAGAATCACCGCAACTGGCGCTAAAGGCAACAAACAACGGGGCTTGTAAGCATTGCCCCCATGCTGATCGTCAATTAAAGGAGCTCCATGGAAGCCAGTGACGCACGCTCTGTCGACAACAGTGAAGAGAATACGCTTTGCAAGATTTTCTTGATGCGAGCTAACCTTCTATGCGCGTGATGTTGCCGCGCATCGTCTGGTTCTGTGTGATGATTTAGAATCGATCCTGCCGGCATCAGCTGATTGGAGTAGCAGAATAAATAGAGCATACGAATCATTACTTGGCGTCGCAGTTTGAAGTAACTTTCATTCTAGCATTACTCAAGATTAGTGGGCCTTATCCAACCGTTTAGCTGACTATCCAGCGCTGCACTAAGTAGGTAAAGCTAGACGCTGCCGTTCGCTGAAGTTCGAAGTTCTGTTCTCTGAGAAGTTGGCTGCGCAAACGGATGGCACCAATTGGTGTCTAGGGGGTCCAGCAGCGATGGTACTCGCGATAAGAGCACCGGTAACGCAGCATTTTCGTAGAAAACCAACCAACAACACAAAGAGCGGGATGTCTTTCTAACGGCACGTGCTTTTCGAACAGATAGATAAATGGAAAATTGGCGAGCGAGTGGCCAGGTAGTGAGAAGACAACAGAAAAAGGAAGATAGCAAAAAAATCAGGTTTTAGGGGTGGTACGGTTTATCGGTTCGTCGTGGCGATGAGGATTCCACGATGAGAACTTGATGTTCCCCTTGTTTCCATCGACAGCCCTTCTGCACCCTCTTCACTGAAAGGCGGAGCGAGCCTACTTCGTCGTCTACCGGGAGCGTCATCAGGATAAACAGTGGTTCGCCGAGTGTATGAACTCGTGAAAAGCCAGCTTGAGGCTGATCGAAGACGGGTGGCTCTTCTACGCTTCGGCGGGTTTTACCTGGTCGTGGTGACGCTGCTGGCTGGTAGGTGACAAGCGTGACATGTGCATGACGGATCGATGAGTTACGACGACTTTCGTGCGTTGAGGAGCTTTGTCCTTGTAGACGGCAATAATAATATAACAGACAACGATGCCACAACTGCCGCCGCTATCAACACCAACCCAGACTTGAGCAATTGCAGCATCAACGACAATAGCAAAGTCGGCAGTGATCAGGATCCTATGGCGGCGGTCGGCCATTCAAAGTTGTGTTTCAATATTTCGAGTTGGTGTCCGACGCGCGATGAATGGATTCTAGCTAACCGACTAGTGCAACGAGACGAAGCCAAGAGAATCTCGGCGTTCGTGTTTAAGCGGGACGCTAAAGCGTCGATGGCTGGAAGACTCCTAATGCGACGTTGTTTGGTCGACTCTCTACGGCAGAACAACGCTAAATTGAATCTCACACGAACATCGGACGGACGGCCGGTGCTGACAGAGCCTGTTGCTAATTTCGACTTCAACATATCGCACCAGGGCGATTTCTGTGCGGCCACGTCTGGTCGCTGCAAACGTATCGGTATTGACATCATGCAAATGAAATACACGGGTGGACGCCACGTCCCAGAATTTTTTCGTTTGATGAGGAGACAATTTACCCAAGGAGAGTGGCAGTTCATCAAGACCCCCTCTTTCGAGTCTCAGCAGATAGCACGCTTTTATCGTTTGTGGACCCTGAAGGAAAGTTACGTGAAAGCGGTTGGTATCGGCCTCGGAATGGACCTACAGCGGATTAACTTTCGCATCTGTGACGAACTACGGTTAGGCCAGGAGCTAACCTCGACGAGTGTCGAAGTAGACGGCCGTTTGGATGCCAAGTGGACGTTCCACGAATGCCTCTTAGATAGTACACACTGCGTGGCCATAGCTTCGGTAGGATTGAGAGGACGGGGGCACTTCTCGCTGCCCGCTATGCCAGCAACGATTGCCCCTCCGACATCAAAGGACCAGAGCCAGCAGGAGAGCCCTACACAAGCAGCCTCCGTCAGCACCTGTATCGCAACGGATTCTGCGAATTCCGGCTGTTATGTGCAGATGGACTTCTATCGGATGGTGCGCGGTCTCGACCCTAGAGACGAACTCAGCCCAGAGGAGCTTACAAAGCTATGGGCAGAATTTTGCGCTAAAGAAGAAAGACCGTCATAGCATCAATACCAACAGTAGCTGCACACTTAGCAGCGTATTATATAACGTTTTTCTTTTACTATTTTCAGTCCCGTCAAGCAGACGTAATACAGTTCGTGTAAATGAGGAAAAGATCTTGTTTTCATGTAGTCTTCTCCATCGTACTAAAATTGGCGGTCATATAGGTGACGACATCTAACACAAGCTGATTGATTAGGTTGCACGCAGGTTTAGAAAAATAGGCTAGGCACTGCGTATACAGACGCCGAGCTGTGAGACACGCCGGCAAACAGCAATAGCGACGTAGCCATAAATAAGTATAAGTTAAAATGAAAGACATCGGAAGGAACAGAAGATCACTTGTTTCGACAACGGAAGATGAAGTTTTAACCAGTGATCGTAGTCGTAGCCATCGTTAACTATTCGCTATAGCAGCCATCAGGAGATTAGAAAAACGAAAATTGTATGATAAACTTGTTCATTGAACAAATGTAAAGGCGGTGTCAATGGATATACAAAGCCAGGGTGGAAGATAGAAGCAGGCGGACGTATTCTGTGTGGTTGATTAGTTGAAATTATACTGCTTCATATTACATATTTTTTACTACGTCGTGTTCTTTGTTGAACAAATCATTTAAGCACAAATGTTGTCTGATTAATAATGATCGCCTATAGTACTAGATATACGTATATAACTTTCATACTTTTGGATGAGCTCTTAATGAGAACCAACAACTCAACAACAACAATGCTTTACTGTGAACGTATCCTCATTCGAATATATAGTATTAGTTTTGGATACAAGAACAGTGAAAGTAATAAACGAGTCTCCTTTTTAACGTCTCGACTCTTTCGTTCTGTATGGTCATATTAGATGATATACTTGCTTCCAATCCAAACGCTTTTATATCAATATCAAGAAGTAACTAAAGCAATTTTATAAAGATCAAAAGCCTTAAAAGGCGACTAAAACAAAAAATATCCCACTTTTACACTTACGCTGCTGGTTAAAAATTGTTTAATATTGCCACCTTTTCGATATTCTGCACTGGTCCTTTTCTTTAGGACTTTTTTAGTTTTTTTAGATTTCACTGATTTTTCAATTCCTTTATTTAGTTTGTCTTTGTTGGTTTATACTGTCACAGTTTTTTTTTTAACTTTAAATCGAATTTATGTTATGTGGATTATCGAAATTGTCACATTTTAACATAGAGTACACTTATTTTGAGGTGGGAATTCGATGAAACATTTAGTGGTGTCGATAGTGGAATCGCACGAAAGGCTTAGACAACAAAGGGCTTTTCAGCTGTACATCACGAAAAACAAAAAATTTTCAATAAATAAAAACCGACATTAGGTTCTTAACAACCTAGCATTATATTCCCTGTCGGATATTCTTTCGAAGCTCATTCGTTGGTCTTTTTGTTGTTTAAAATTTGTTACAGACAAGACCATGGCCGCACTAGTCTACCGCTGCGGGCTTAGCTCAGCATCCTTGCCACAGACGAGCGCGCTTCCGCTCGTTCCTGTTGTGAAAGCCATGAGAGGCAGAACAGAGGGTGCGTTGTGGCGCATCGTTTCCAGTTCCCCCGTACCCTGGCCACGAGTCCGAGGTCCCCAGCCATCAGCTGATTGCAACCAGGCGCGCGCGAGTTGCCAAGTCTGCCCCACCGGCATATGGTCTCAGCTTTGGCACTCCACTTGGTCGGTAGCTTGGCTTGAGCAAAAAAGGGAGGCGCTAGGAGAGTAACGAGGAGCCTCGTTGTGTATACGTGCCTCCTGCGAGAGCACAACGCACTGCAACTCCCCGAAGGTGGCAGTACCAGTGAGCGAAGAACATTGTGCAGGGGCTGTATTACACTGTACGGCAGCTCAAGCACTGCGAGTATCCGAATGGTGCCCTATGCTACTCTAAGGGTGCTTTTGCCCCTTCAAAGTTGCATTACCTCCTTTGTCCGACCCTGTTACAGCCCTCAGAACGCCTCTCCTATCTCTACTCCCCACTACTCCCGATTTCCTAGTTTTCCAAATGCAGCCGCTGCAAAGCAGTGGCGCTGCAGCGGCCAGCGTCGCACCGCCAGCAGTAGCCCCATGGAACAAGCAGTTCGAGCACCTCACATCAAGCTCACGACCCACGGCAAACTGCCAACAATTGTACACGCATAACTGCGATACGATGACCAATTCGGACGGTGATGTTGGCTCTGCGTAGCGATACGCCTTCTACGATACTGCTGTGGCCGCGGAAGCGGCAGCATACGTATTCGTCAAAGTGCTTAGCAGTGTGGTGGTGGTAGGAAAACAGATCTACTTTCGGAGCTCCGATGGCACCAGACAAACGCACCGCGGTTGTGATGTTGCTGATGGCGATGGTTCTCTGATACCGAGGCGGCTTTTGTGGTAGCCAGACGATCAGGGAGGCAACCAATGGAGGCAGCATGTTTCAGCAGGCCAGACCAGGCCATAGTAGAAAAAGGAGCGTTTTGTCTTCTCAAGTTACTACTACAGTTTACTGCAGGCGCTGCCGACTGCTACTGCTAGGTGCTGCGATGTCAAACCGCTGTTGTTCGTCGTATACCACTTCGATGTTGTTGTTATCGGTGTCGCAGTTGCTGGTACTGCTCATTCCGCTAGTACCGTTACTGTTGTTGCAGATGGCCAACCGCCGCCAAAGACGATATGGCTGACGATGCTAGTAGCAGCTATGATGGGTGCTGTGAACTGGGTAAGCCTGTCCGGGTCGGCGACGATGGAGTTGCCTTCAGCGACATCTGGTCCTGCGGAGCGCTATGAAACAGCTTTATTTCATTATATCTTACTTATTCCTTATCTCCTCTTCATCGTTGCTGCTAGCCACTCTCGTTCGCTGCTGCTGGTCGTACCGCTGGCTCTTCCTTTCTTCACTTTGAAATGCTACCGCCCGTGTTCAGAAACTCTTAACTTTACCCTCAGTCGTAGCCTTCGTCTGTTCTGTAGTTCTGATATTTGCCCAGCATAACCAGTTCGGCCTGCTTGCCGCTATTAACCAGCATCGACGACTGCAGCGACGGTCGTGGCGCAGCTGGCGGTGAGGGCGATGTGTTCGTGTTATCGAGAACAACGAATTGGTAGCGACAAACAGCGTCAACAGCGAAGTGAGCACTGCTCATAGACGAAAGCGGAGTTCGCGGACAATGGCCACAGCGATTCAGGAGCGCTAGGCGACGGGATCGACGGGCTGACTCGAAACACACAGTTCCATAGAGAGCGTATACATTCAATAAAAATACTACAATCACACTGCTTTAGCACAGGCATCTAGAATTACGACGAGGCGCTTGTAGCTTCCTGTCCCGTTCACTGGTTGACCGCCAAAGCTAAAGATCTGGCCGAAGGCTAGCTGTTCGACATGCATCCCCTTACATATAATATATTCAATGGGGATTCCATTTCTATCTCAGCGTATGGTCTTCCTGCGTTGTCCACTTGGCTTGTATTAAGCCTGCACAGGTCAGGAGTCGGGACCTTATACCACACCCATTATACTGCGTGCTTTGCTTAATGTGGCCGGGACCTACTGCTCCCTGAAACGTTGGCTATCCCAGCTGACTATTGGTCGCAGCAAAGGACGACGAGAAGAAAACAGAACATGCCCAAAGTGTACATTGAGAGCCCAATATGAGTTGCGACTGCCAGATACTTTCTAAGCTAAATAGTTGCGCTCGTTGGCTTTCAGATTAAAACAAGGAATGGCTTATAATCTGTTGGCGTAGCATAAGTTACGTATGTAGTTTCATAGAAATAATAACATTATTTATTGTTAGATCTCTGCCTCGTTATATACATAATACGATATCGTAGCGTGGGGGGTTCTTTCATTAGCGTGTCGAAGGGACAAACAGCATTGGTGTCACGCGCTGTGGGCATAGGCTGTAATTGCAGCGTTAAGGAAAGTGCTGTTGTTCATAGTCTGAATAAGCAGACGATTTATGCCCAAATCGCGAAAACCCTTTGTCGTATTTTCAGAATGGTTAGTTGATGCTGAGGAACCAAGTATAGTAAGCTTAAAAAAATTATTGATACCATCAGTTGATACATCAGCCAGTCATTGCTTCTGTTGTAATATTACTGTTTTCAAGAAAAAAAGGTCTTAAATATCGTTCGGGTTTAAATCTGGGCTAGACTTAGATAACCGGTGCTTATAGCCATGCGGGCTATACAGAGGCAAAAAAAAAAGGAAATCTCCTATACACAGACTTCGGAGACACAAAGTACAATGAAAAGATTAGCGCCGCTGCAGGTCACTGACTGTCACTGAGTCCGAGGGAGCCGCCCATGAGCAGTCAGGCGGACGGTTAACCGTTATTTATTTTACACGACGATCACCCAGGCAGTCAGTCATAGCTGTATCCTCTTTCGTTCCTGGCACTGTCGACCTTTCTTGATATTTTTCTGTCCAAGTTGCTTTTCGTGTCTCTCCTCTGAGCGTTGCCGTGTTTGGAGGACGCTGTCGGCGGACGTTGGGTACTGGCGGGTGAGGTGGAGAACGGGACGAGCGGGGGGTGAAACGAAGGTGCAACGAACGTTTGTATCTTCTGTTAAACAGCACTGCTGCACGCCAGCGACTTAACTGCTCAACCCTCGATGCTAGCAGAGATGGCAGTCACGGGGGTTGTATCAGTTCACTTTGTCTGTACAACGCCGGTAGCAGCAGTTCGTTCCGACAAGAACAAGAGGCAAGTACAGTCTCCCTTCTCCGCTTTCTCTCTATTTCTCGTTGCTTCCCCTGCCTCCTTTTGCTCTTTCAGCCGCTCAGTTCTTGCAGCTTTAAACAACGCCTGAGAATTATCTTCATTCCTAACGGAAGCTTGCCCCCACCCATCACCCCTTTCAGCCTCCGACTCGCGGGCGCTGGATCGTTTGCTTGAACATCCTCCGTCAGCCGCACACGTGCCGGAAGTGAGATGTTGTTTGGTTGCTGCTTCCGGTTTGTGGGGCTGAACGAACGGTCCGCCGATTGCCCGGTTCGTGGCAAACCGACAGTTCCTAAGCGGCTAAGGATGCCAGCTGAGAGTAGATGTCGACGGCTATGCGATTGCAGGGATGGAACGCTGGCCTGAGTGGAGGCGTCCTAGCAACCTAGCAACAGCAAAGTTGAAGGCAATAGTAGTGGCTGCTGTCAAGGAGGCTTTTACTGGAGTCTGCCCTTTTACCGCCAGCGTAGTTTACCAGTGTGAATAGAATGCTGTAGTCCGAAGAACAGGGGGCAGGAGGGAAGGCGAAGACAAAACGCAAACAGTGGTTCAGAAGAGTTTTAGGGGTGTTAGGGAGTTGGCGGGGTTATCGAGGGTATAAGGGGTGCTGGGGATAACTGCAAGTAGCAGAGGCGCCGAGAAATCGGCGAAACGGTGGCGGCTGCTGGCTATGCTTCCTTCGTTCGCTCGTTGCTATCCGTCGTCCGTCGGTTTGACTGCGATTGCCGCTACCGCTCGTAGTAGGAAGAAGCAGGGCCCATCCGCATATGCCACTTGTGTCTGAGTCCCAGACTTTCCCAACCAGAGAGCACAACCAACGAATGAGGGAGCTAAGCTCAACTAGACAGACAGTCACCCAGGCCAGCAGCGATTGAACGACCGAGCGACCGACCAGTCATTCAGGCAGTTCAGTCAGTTCCTAGGGTGATCGCGACCCGAGTCCGTCCTTCAGTACCGCGCGGGTGGGAGTCAACTCCCTCAAACGAATTCCTGTACCACTCGCATCGAGCTCTGCAACACGATGGCGACTGCGGCTATATAGCGCAATGGCTTTAGGGCAGCGCCACGCACTATCATCATAGATTCAGATCCGACAGCAGCCCGATACCAGTGTTACGGCTGGCACTTCAGGCGCTTCTCTCGCCACTGTTGATGCTGATGCTCCTACTATGAGATATGAAAAGAAAGGGTAAAAAAGGGGCAACGGCTCTTTTCCCCGGTGGATTATGGAGGGTGACGGGATAAAGGTGGGAGCGAGCTTTTGAGCGGAACTAGCGCATTAGTAATATTAGTAGCTGGTGAAATGTACATTTTTAAAAATATAAGTTATACATATAGTATGAAGTAGAAGAATGGACTAGCACCTGTTGTATAGAAGAATTCACATATCAACACGGTTAACCTTGAACTATTTAATTTTTGCGAGAACTCCGTTGGTAATGAAGCTCCTGTGTACAGCACAAAGCACACATATGGCGTATATATATTTACGTTTGTAGTTATTACACACCGCGAAGTGATTTCTATAAAACAACCAGAGGCAGATAAAAATTTAACAACTGTATTATCTATAGTATTACATCCGGTAGTTCAAGAGCATCAGCGTCACGTAATACAGGTAGGTAGTCGCTATAAAATTCTTGTGCAAGTGATAAATCTGGCCTATACGAACTAATAATTTCAGTATATTGACCAGAGTACCGCCCTATAT